CCCCCTCTCTCTCTCACCCACTTCGCTTCCTGTCGACCTACTGTCCTATCTAAATAAAAGGCATTAAAAAAAATATATAAAACTTGAATTCGTAGCCTGCTATTTTAAAAAAGCTTTATGCTCTGTAGACCTTCCAGTAGGAGAACAAATGCCAGTGTTATCCTCTTCCTCAAGGGCACTGTAATTTTGTGGGAAAAACATGGAAATAATTGGTCATTTTATCTTGCAAATATTACGTTTTCCACACATACTTTTATGAAAATGGATATAGTTATTTTCTGGATTATAAATCGCATTTTAATCATCTGAAACGTGCTACGATTTCCAAGGCGACTTATTTAAAGCAATCAGGTCAAGTACAAAGCACGCACATTTGGATTGGTGATGAATGAGAAAGGCAGGTGAGTTTGTACTGCGCATTTTCCAGCAACCACGCTGCTAGTTTCAGTAAATGTAGTTTGTAGTAAATGTTTATAGTGAATGGCACTATAATTTGTTTGTTGTTTTACTAATATTTTTGTTCCTTTTTCTGTTCTGAACACTAAATTTACAGGGAATATAAATACATGTTTTTAATGTTTGTAAACATTTAGTTTATTTTACGTTATTTATGAATGAAATTATAAAATGTTTCTTATACATCATGCAACTTATCTATGTCATAAAGTGCTCATAAAAAAATAAGGTAGCGATGGTACAAGAATAGAACTGCCATGTATGTACAAGTATACATACAGTACAGTTGTCGTCAATTTAATAATAATAAAAAAAAAAAGCTTAATTTGTCATGCACATATTATGCGGCCCCTCACTTCGTGTGGGAAACTTGATGTGGCCCTTGAAGTCAAAAAGTTTGCCCACCCCTGCATTAGAATATAGTTTTTTTTGTTTGTTTTGTTTTTTAATGTTAATGCAGGTAGTTCTTAAAATAACCAGGCACTCACTTTGTGTATTTCTCCAGTCTCTGATGTTCCTGGTTCCTCCACTATTGTCAGTGCATCATCTTAAAAAAGAAACAGTAAACAAGTATCCATTAGGGGTGTAACGGTACACAGATGTCACGGTTCGGGGGTCATGGTTTGATACGATTTCGGTACAACAAACTGGAAAAAAAACAAATCTACTATGCTAGGTTTCTTTTCATTTATTTTGAATAGACAGTATTACGACACGTAACGTAGCCTTTATACGCAGAGTTTCAGTTCATTTTTGTGACATGCTTAATTTGTTCAAGAAAGGAAACTCAAATGGCAGAAAGCGACATCCTATTTGTTTTCTTTATTTTACAAAAGCACAATGTTTTGTTTTCATTGTGAGTGTACACAAATAAAAGTAGACCTTTTACAGTGGTGCAGTTTTAATAAGACAATAAGTGTTTTAAGTTGATTCTGCTGGTATAAGGAAACAGTTGAAGTGAGCGCGCCGGCGCACACACACACACAAAACACATCAGTTCCAGCATTGCTAACTTGACAGCGCAGTTGGTACTTTATCAAAATAAAATACAGTGAACCAAACATCAGCACGCCTGCCTCTGTGTCACCGTTGAAACGCGACTGAAGTACAAAGCCTATAATTTACATAATGAATAATAGTTTAGCATTCAGATACATCGCAAATATGGAAATATTATGGAATATTTGGATTTGTGCCGAATGAGAGAGGTAGGATACACGAGCACAAAGCTCCATTTCGCAAACAGTTGAGTGCACAAGCCTTTAAAGTATACTCCTTTGTCA